CAGCTCAAGGCTAGTGCTCTACCACTTGAGCCACAGCGCCACTTCCGGCTTTTTTCTTTTTGCTTATGTGGTGCTGGGGAATCGAACCCAGGGCCTCAAGCATTGCAAGGCAAGTGCTCTACCACTGAGCCACCTTCCCAGCCCTCTGCTGTGTCTTTGAGTTGGGAGTGTGAGAGGTGAGCGACACTGTAGGAGACTCCAGTCCACAGAGAACTGGAGAATTGGCAGAAACCCCACCTTGCTCTTCTCAAGTCACGTGCTCCTGTGAAACCAGGCCACTCCAGCAAACCCACTTCCCTGGCAACAGCAAAGAGGGAGAGAAGTCCACACCGCTGTGCCCTGGGAGCTGGACCTTCCCCGAACCCTGCGTCACGGCCTTCCTTCCTCCCCTCACTCTCCTGTTGTCTGCAAAGTACCAGCAATCGTATGGCAACAAGTCAGCATGACAGACACACCCCAGGCTTAGGAAGACCCCAGTAGGAGTCATGTGGTCTAGGAGTAGGAACAGGAGGGGGTCTGTGGCTGACTCTAGAGGGTTTACATTTAAGCTGATGAGGTGCGTTTGTCCATTTTGGCTTTTCTGCAGGGGTTGGCACCAGGAATTACTACAGGAAGATTGGCTACAGATTGCAAGGCCCATACATGGTGAAGATGCTCAGGTAACAGCTACCTCTACGCAGCATCCTCCATGGCGAAGGACAGACTCTCCATGTCTGGCATTGAGCAGAGAGGCCAGACCTACGCTGTCCACCGGCAGGGAGCACGCCTCATCCCGCAGCTGCAGAGTCTGGAAAACACTTCCACAGTCAGTCCGGGCACCTGCTGATGGAGCCCGGGACCCCTCTCCTGTGTGCACCCACAGCATCCCTCCAATCATGTAACCCATTTCTAAATTCTATATGAGAGCTGCAGGTGACTTTTGGGGGCTCAAACAGACAGCATCCTGATGCAGGAGTCTCCTGACTGTCTCTGGTGGCAGCCTCAGGCAGAGAATGACACACTGGGGACACAAATCAGGTCGAAACCAACAAAGGCAGTCACGCTGCAATCCCATCCACATTCGCCTGCGACTTAAGCACGCGAGCTTTGGTTTTAATAGACAGCGTTCTGGTTTCTGTGCTGGTGTTTCGGGAGCATGCAGTGGTGGGAGAAGAGTCAGCTGTGGGTGGTGGCGTGGGACACAGCTGTCCCCAGGCTCCTGTGTATCACATGTGGTCACGCCTTCCCACATGCTCAACCACGGTGCCCAGACTGGGCCATCCAGCACCCATCCCAAGCCGGGCACAGCCCAGCGCACCTGGCCACAGCCTGCGTGGCCCTGGTTAAGACTCCCCCACAAAACCAGAGCCTGCGTGTGAATTGTTGAAGGAGGATGCTGGTGTGTGTTAAATGCAGACAGGTAACGCGTGTGTGAAGGCAGAAGTGGGGTAAATAGGGCCAGATCTAAAACTAGGAAAAAGCAGTTTTCACAGAGTTCACCCATAGACCAGCCTCAGCCCTTCCTGCGCGGCCAGCGGAGGCCCAGCTGCCCACCGCGGCCCACCGGCGTCCCGCAGCCCCTCGGTTTGCTCAGCAGAGCTCATTCCTCTTTGCGGTCTGAAAATAAAATCTTTAGCATAGAAAACATGGTGCACTCGTGCTGGTTTGGTGGTGCTTCCGTTGTTTTTCTCTCCCTGACAGTGCAGGGGCGTTTGTCATGAGTTTACAGGTTTCAGTTGCCAACCGTGACGCCGGTTTCCCCCGGGGTACCATTTCCCATTTCATGACTGTGAAAAGCACGTAGCAGTGGCTTTCTTATGGGTGCATGGCAGCATTCCACAAGTGTGCGTTAGGGAATTTAGCTACTTCTCAATTAGCCTTCCCCCCACAAAAATAAAACCATTAAACCAACAAAGCATACGCCCCCTGGCCGCCGAGCGGGCCGCCTGCGCCAGCCGGGCCCACTTCGGCATCTCGGCCTCCACCTGCCCCTGTTTACCTGAATGGATGGAAATGTACCATGAAGCTGAGAGAGACATGTTCAGGTGATGTTTATTTTAAAAGACCATAACTTAGAGCTTTAAAAAGAGGTTGATGGAAGCTGTGGCTCAAGTGGTAGATGCTTGCCTTGAGCTGAAGAGCTGAGAGACAGCGCCCAGGCCCAGAGTTCAAGCCCCACGACCATCCAAAAAGAGAGAAGAGAAGTTGCTGAGGAGCCTGCCCTGGTCCCTTGGATCTCAGTTCTGGATTCATCCTGTGCTCGTCTTGGGCTTCAGGATGTCCTCTGCTGGTCATCCGCCCACCGTGGCGCCAGTCTCCTGGGCTTTGCAGACCTGCTGAAGTTGCCAAACTCCATCAGAGAGCGAGCGTTCCATAGCCAGGTGCCTCAGCTTCTCTTCTGGCCAGACTAGTCCTTCCCAGACCTCTGCTGCTCAGGCTCAGGGCCACCTACCAAGTCCAGCCTGGCCAAGCCTTCCAGCTCCACGTGAAACCATTAAGGTGTCTTGTGTCTGACCTGTGCTGAATGAGGCCTTATGAACAGCTGCCTTGAGCTCAGTCAGGTGGCGCTGCTTCTGGTTCAGCTTTTGACTAAGTTACAGGCCATGTTAAAAAAAAAAAAAAGGCAGACTGAAATACATTTGGGTAGGAAATGAGACTTTGAAATACATTATCACCAAGTGAAAGGATTTGGGAAAGAAAGCTCAACGTTTCTCAAACTTGGGAGCAAATGGCCCCTTTTCCATTTCCTAGCCCCATTGAACTGGAAGAGCCCTGGGAAGCACAACTGAAAACCAAAGTCTATTCTGTGGAAGCTGTTTTTCCAACTGCAAATTTGATTTTTTTAAAGAATATCTCATTACGGGGCTGGGAAGGTGGCTCAGTGGTAGAGCACTTGCCTTGCATGCATGAGGCCCTGGGTTCAATTTCTCAGCACCACATAAGCAAAAAGAAAAACGCCTGAAGTGGTGCTGTGGCTCAAGTGGTAGAGTGCTAGCCTTGAGCTAAAGAGCTGAGGGACAGCGCCCAGGCCCAGAGTTCAGGCCCCACAACCGGACCCAAAAAATATATATATATATTTCATTACAAATATTTCATTACAAATACAGTTCCAGTACTGGAGCTGTCTCTTATTTTTTTCACTCAAGGCTGGCACTGTATCATTTGAGTCACAACTCCACTTCTGGCTTTTTGGTGGTTAATTGGAGATAAGGAGTCTCATGGAGTTTTCTTCCCAGGCTGGCTTAGAACTGTAATCCTCCAAACTTGACCTCCTCAGTAGCTAGGATTACAGGCGTAAGGCACCAGTGTCTGCTGTTTGTGACGAACAGGTTTGCTATTGTGGCCAGACCTGCAACAAAGGAATTTCTCATCTGACAAGGGACTCCAGTGTTTGGCTAGGGTGTGCACTATAGTATCTGACGCCGAGGGCCATTTCTTCCAGCTGGCCTTTCTCTTTAGTTCACACAAATTCTTGCATTGCAAGCTGGTTAATCCATGCATCGGGTGACATTCCTGCAGATGAGGGCGGCAGAAAGGCTTAGCCTGGGCCTGGGAAGCTGCCTTTGTCCCACGAGCATGGCTGAGCTACGCAGTAGGAGATGGAATCTCATGAAGGGAGTTTGGCTGTTTTGTGGTGTGGGTGGGCATGTTTCTGTCAGGTAGAGTTGTGTGAGCATCCACATGCTCCTGTTCTATTCTGTGAAGGCAGTTCCAAAAAGTAAGTTTACAAATATGTTAACTGATTTGAACACAAACCAGTACTCAAGCTCCTGCCTGTAAAAAGCAAACCAGCAGCTTTTCCACGTTCTTCCCGTACCTTTCTCTCCAGCTCTGTGTCTTGGGGCTAGAATCCCCTCTTTGGCCATTTGGTTGATTTCCCATCATGCACTGAGTTCTGCCAAAGTTCCTTCACTTTGTGATCTTGGGGAATCCTCAAAGTAACTAGTGATGGCTGCCATTTAACAAGGACATGGGCACACGCCTCAGTGTTCAAGGTTTGAAGCCACAGAACAGAGCCATCCTGTGCCCCGGGACAGGAGTGCTGCTTGCTCATGTGCTTAGCATGGTGCTCCCCAATGCCCCTCTCACACACCTCCCCCCACCCCCCTGTGCAGTCTGCACAGCAGCCCTGGTTTCAGCCACTAAAATGCTAGTAAGACTTAGAATCAGAAGCCAGATCAGTGAGTCGGCCTTTCCTGGCACCCTCTGCCCCACATTGCCTTTTTGAGGAGAACGCCTTCAGTCAGCTCCGGTTGGAGCCAGCCAGCACTTCCATGTCTGTATTCCATCCCCACACCGGCGGCGGGAGAGGAAAGCTCTGCCAGCCCAGGTTTCCTAGGGGGCTCGGGAGCAGTGGACCTCGTCAAGGGAGGCTGCAAAGGAAATGGGCGTCAACATTTTTGGGAAACAATGGTGCGTTCCTTTTCCAGCTTCTCAAAATTGTATTTGTTCACTACTTCAAATGCAAATGAGGCAAAAGCTAGCTCAGAAACAAAAATCCAGCCATCTCTCCCTGTGTGCGCGCCCTGTGTGTGAGGTCCCTTGTCCTAGCTCTCTTCCCCACAAAAAACAAAAAAGAGAGAAATCTAGCTGGGCGCTGCTGGCTCACGCCTGTAATCCTAGCTACTGAGGAGGATGAGATCTGAAGATCACAGTTCAAAGCCAGCCTGGCAGGCAGGAAAGCCACCGAAACAGCTAGAAGTGGAGCTGTGGCTCAAGTGATAAGAATGTTAGCCTCGAGCAAAAGAAGCTCGGGGACAGCACCCAGAGTCTGAGTTCAAACCCCAAAACCAGCAAAAGAGAAGGAAAGAAAACCTGGGTTGAAGCGTTAGATGTATTCAAGCACATTAAAAAAAAAAAAAAAACGGACAGCCTTTTTGCATTCTCGTTGTCACAGGACTTAGAATCAGGGATTAAGCATGAGCGACACAGATGTGTTCACTCATCCCTGAGACTTGCGCCTTCTGACATTTTGGTGCATGCATTCACTAGGCCACGGAGTGTGTCCTTTGAGTCACACTCCCACTCCCAGCTCCCTCCAGCCCTTCCTTCAGGGGGGAGGGCGAGACCGTCTGATGCTTGGCCTTTGTCATTCAGAAGGTGACAGACAGCGCCTTCGATTCTGAACAATCTCATCATACAAAATGTCAGAGCACCTGTTCGCTGGAGCACCGAAGCGTGGACGTCCTCTATTGAGGGCAGAGGTGACCACACATTTCTTTCCTCGGCTCCTGGAAGGCTCTGGTGGCTCCTGGAAGGCTCTGGTGGACACACAGACGCATGGATGCAGGGACGCACGTCCCCACGCCAGACACAGGCTCGAGGAAAAGGTCGACCTGTGTGCTCTCAGCCCCTCCCATCGGCAACATTGGACATAGGAGCACGGAGGAGATTTGACAGAACCTGCCGGCGCCATCAGACAGGAAACTGGGGCCCCAGCACCCCTCTTCTTTCCAGGAAGAGCAGCCTAGCCTGGCTGTGGGTTCCAGGCTGGCACCGCTCTTCCCAGCTCTGCCAGAGCCAGGACTGCGTCACCAAATCTCCCTAGAGAAAGGAAGGGCAGGCGGCTAGAGCAGCCATGATTGGCAGTGCCCACCCACCCCCCCAAGGCAGATGGCCCTCCACACAGATGGAAGGAAGCACGCGCCTCACAACAGGGACGGAATTAACCAACCCTCGGCACGAGTCAGTGAAGTGCTGGGGTCGAGGCAACAAGTGGATGTGACCGTTAAAATTCAGCACGGAGCCGGGTGCCGGAGGCTCGCGCCTGCAATACCAGCTACTCCGAGGCTGAGAGCTGAGGATCAAGGTTCAATGTCCGCCCAGGCAGCAAGGTCCGTGACACTCTTATCTCCACTAGAAAACTGGAAGTGGTGCTGTGGCTCAAGTGGTAGCACGCTCGCCTTGAGTGAAGAGCTCAGGGACAGCGCCCAAGCCCAGAGTTCAAGCCCCATGACCGACAAAATAAAGAAAAATCCAGCAGGTGCTAGGGCCCTGTAGATCTGTGAATAGCGGAAACTCCACAGTGGTTCAACCCAAGGGCTTGGGGCTGGCAGATGGGTTGGAACTGGGATTGTTCTGGAAGTTCAGCTGGCCAAGTAGCCATTTTGCACCGTGCCTGGTGTCTGCATGGCCCTGAAGACGGTTGAAAATGGCCCAAGTGTTCCCTTCGTTTCTGGCATTTGGGGAAACTGTGGAAAAGAAGCCAAGAGCCTCCGCGCAGGGCGCTGCGCTCCGGCCATTATTGGCCTTTTGTGATGTTGCTTTGTAACATTTGCCCCGCCAAATACAAAAGCAAGCCAAGCCATCTGCATGTGTAATTTGCCTTTAATATGTTACTGTAACTGTGATGACTAGAAAGATCTCTGTCGTAACGGATGGACGTTGACTCCATCTTCTCGAACCCCTGGCTCTGCCTCCTTGCACCTGTTCTTGGTTCTCTGAGGCCTCTGCCCATGTGGCTTCTCCAGCCGACCTTTCTGTGGCTTCCTGCTGCCGCCGCCTCCACCTGCTCTGTGAAGGAAAGCACGTGGACAGCACCGGCCTCTGCCCTCCGATGAACTGTGAGTCTGCTCGTGACCACAGAATCCCCCGGACACAAACGCCCGTCCACCATTTCCAGCTCCACACTTGACAT